TAACAAGAAAGTCAGAAGTCACCTGAACCATTTGAAACGTGGTGTGGAAAAATAACAGTACATCTTTGGGGAACATTAATTCACGAGCCATCCCCTTTGGAGGATAAACTGATACATTAAGGACAACTTGATCAGCTCTGTATAGGAGTGTGGAAGACAATCTTTACTACAGAGAAAGTTTAAGTACAGTGGATGCTTATGTTTCAGAATCAAGTCTCACCTGAGGTTTTCTATTTATAAACAAACCTATGTCACCAGACTTAGATTTTATTAATAATAAATCCATTAAGTTACACATCCATGTACACCTGTAGGCCAAAGGACAAACGTGAAGAGAAAGAGCAACACTTCTGCTGCCTAAGAGCCAGGACCAACATAGATGGCATAAGGCAGAGATTCTAGCCTCAGGTATTTCCAGAAGCAGATGTGTGAACAACTGTCTTTATCACCCACCAGAACACCTCATACCCTCATGAAAAGTAGCAAATGGTAAGGAATTTCCAGATCTAAATCTATCCCCAAATAAATATAGCTTCCCCCATCTCCAGCAAAGCTCTTTGCCTTTCTGGAGCCAGATTCAAACAAGTTACGAGTTACCCGCTCCCACTGCTCTTTCATCTTAACTTTTCCTAAGGATACTTCTGGCTGATAGAGGCAAAATGCCTCTCTCGTATGTCTCTCTCTATGACTTTTATCCCAATACACGCAGCCAGCAGAGACTGTGCAGCTTGTCTAAAACACTAGCAAGACTCATCTGCCTTAGTGAAAAAGATAAAAGGTACTTTAAACAAAGTACGTAGTGAAATCTACAGCAGTGTTCCTGCCTTTGAAACAAACTCTAGACTTCAATTAAAAAATTGGACAGGTATTATTTGTTAGACCATCTCTACCATCTACCAGTGTACACCAGCAATCATATACTTACTATTTAGCTGAGTCAGAAAGCTGATATTCTCTTCTCCTGTCATAACACTCTTGTATTCCAGGGTCGTTCCACAATGTTTTAATTGCACTTACATATGGCTGCTCAAATGTCATGACCTTTTCTACATCCACTTCCCGGATCAGCACTGCATTGGCCTGGAGATTGAAAAGCAAATTAAAAAAAAAAAAAAAGGGGGGGGGGGGGGGTGCGTGTCAAGGGTCAGGAGCAGGGCATACCAGTCACAGGCAGGCAAAAAATTCTCAGATTAACTAAATCCTTACATTATGACTGCAAGGATCCACATGCTGGTTGTGGATCAGGTTGCTAAGACCAGAGGGACAATGGGTAAACTATACATCTAAGACATAGCAGACATCAGCAAAATTCCCCCAAAGCATCATATGCTCCTTCACAGAACAAGCTGTAAAACAGCAGCAGGTTTCACCTATCATTAGATCACCAGGTGTTTTGAAACACAGTGGTTTCCAAGGCAGAGCATTCACTGTGAAGAACCACAGACTGCCCAACTTCTGAGGAGGTTAAACTGCAGTTGGATAACAAGTTGCTGTCTCAGGTTTCTTACAAAAAAAAATTTAAACTACATTTTGAATAGCAATAGAGACATTGTTTAAGTGTACTTCAATCATGATCCCTTTTGAGAGAGAAAATAAAAATGCCCACCCTACAATCTATAAGTGAAGGAAGGACTACAGTCATTATAACAGCCTGTAGCATCTGTGAGGTTATTATCCACACCCAGCTGCTTTCTGAAATCTTTGGTACACTTGCCACAGGAAGGGGCTTTTGCCTATACCACCTACACCAGGAAAAATAAAAAACAAAGCCAAGTTCTGCACACGTTATCATAAGTAGAATTTGGCAGATTATACCTATCAAAACACCTCCACCATGCCCCAGGTAAAGCACAGTCAAGGCAAGCTTCCTCACGCCCTGCCTATTCTCATCACGGAGATTGCAGAACCTCTCTAAAGGCAACAAAGGTGTTCAGACTCAAGAACTCCTGGTGCACCATCCAGTCCCTATAAACAGTTATTAAAAATCAGCTCCAAGTTACTCTGAGACGGAACAGATAAAATACAATTTCACTTAAATATATTAAGGTACTAAGCATTAAAGAAGCAAAACATGCTAAAAAAAGTCTCATTTCCTGGTGCACCCTCACCCTCCCCGTCCTCCCCCAAAAAATCTAAAATAATTTAGACTCGATCTGGCTGAAAAATTTATTCCTGGACCCAAAATCAGTAAGCCAGACTTCAGCTCAAATCACGTTTCTGTGGTTGAGACCAAACCCCTTCAAGAAAGGTACTGACCAAAGGTACAAACCTATCAGAAAAACTGACAGATTGCAGTTAGTGATAACTACCAGTAGAGGTGTCTTTTGGGTCCAGCATGTATTTTGTCACCTTCAAGTTCCGATGTGAATAGTAACTCATGCAAAGAAAAGCCCAACACATCTAACAATACTGAATCCTTGAAATGAGTAAAAAGAACACCTCTCCTATACCCTATATTGTATCCCAGTCTTTTGCTCCCACCACTCACTATGCAGACCAGTGCACAAACCATCCTGAGAAAGTTGCTCTATCCCTTAACACAACCAAGTAAAGGGAGTCAGATATCAGCCAAATGTCATAAAAAGCAGTCCTTAAGCACAAAAC